GAAAGAAAACGAATTATTTCTAATTTTTTAGAAGAGCCGAGAAAACTTTATATTTGCAGTGAAACTTTGAACGATATGAGAATAACCCAATCGAGTACTTTATTTATAGTGTTAAGAGAGTCGGCTATAATTTTAGGGTTAATCAAATATAATCTTATCTAATAAATTATCGAATCAAATCTAAAAGATTATAATCTTTTTTGGTAAGATCACATTTGGATAATATATGTACATATTTATAATATTAAATCGACATTAAAACTTAAATGTAGGAAACTATTTAGATTTGTATATAGATTTCTTAAACTAATTAGATTGATGAAAGAATAAATTTCATTAATATCTAATCTCGTAATTGAAAAGTGTTTAAATATATTTCCTTATTTTTGGAAAATTTTGGAAAGTTAATAATAAAAATACAAAATTGAATCTTGAGAATATTTATAAGATTATTTCTATATTTGTATCTACGTATATTTTAAATTTATTGTTAAGATTTTAAATTTTTTTTATTAATAACTGACGAATAAACATACATCATGAATTTAATTTCTTATATAACAAATAAAGGAAAAAAAGGAATAAATGGAAATTTAGAACATCATCATTTTAAATAAAATAAATAGCTTAACCCGCTGTATTATATTATTATGTCGTAGTCTGCTGGTTTGGTGGCGTTTTGTTCTTTTTTTTAATAGCGGGTAAATGACGAAATTACCCCCATCTTCTTCCTTCAGATTTTAGAACTCGATTTCTGCATAACCAAAAATATTGCCATTGATTTTCATCAGTTTTTCTTGTTTTTTTTTTTTTTTTTCTACACGAAATATGCTAGATCGAAAGAAGTACTTATTGATTTCTAAGTTAGCAACAGAAGAAATGTTTTTTTTTTTTTTCTGAGATTCTTATTTTAGATATACGTGAACATTTCTTTCATATTTATATGATTCGTTTAAAGCAAGCAAATCGTAATGACCATGTAACACCCCGGTTTCAGCAAATCGTAATGACTATGTTACCAAAGTGCACTTATCTTTTCGGTCAACTGTCCTGAGAGAACTCCACAGTTAAGCGTGCTTGGGCTGGAGTAGTTTCAGGATGGGTGACCTTCCGAGAAGTGATTGGCGGAACTGTGTGAGTGAGGACAAAACACAGGGAAAGATCGAATGGTGATTTGTAGGGTCGGTAAACAAGTCTTTAAAGCCTCCCGAATGTAGCGAACCGGCCGTCGGACAGGGGTGGGCCCATGGGCCCGAGAGAGGATGTGGGGCCCACTGGTAGGGATGGTCGGGGCGTTATAAGTGGTATCAGAGCCGAACCCAGACGAGTGTGGAGTCAAGAGGGCTCACACCGTAGGGGGTGACGGTCTTGGTGTTACCAAAGTGCACTTATCTTTTCGGTCAAACGTCCTGAGAGAACTCCACAGTTAAGCGTGCTTGAGCTTGAGCAATTTTAGGATGGGTGACCTTCCGGGAAGTGATTGTCGGAACTGTGTGAGTGAGGACAAAACACAGGGAAAGATCATGTGGTGATTTATAAGGTCGGTAAACAAGTCTTTAAAGCCTCCTGGACGTAGCGGACCGGCCGTTGGACAGGGGTGGACCCATGGGCCCGAGAGAGGACGTGGGGCCCCATGGTAGGGATGATCGGGGCGTTACAGACAAGATATGTTTTCTTTTACTAATTGAAGAACCAATGACCCAAAAAAACGATCGAGATGACCGAAAGAACAAAAAAAATTCGATGACCCGCTTGAAGAAGCAATGACCCGCAAATTCGATTACCCGTTTTTGCAAATATTTGATCCAATACCCACCCATATACTAAACACGCGGATCTTAAGTGTTTAATGAAAATTGTTGACTAATTTACCCTTATCAATTTCAAAAAACACTCTACAAATACTAAATTGAATTGAAATTGAATGGCAATTTTGTACAATTTTAAATTTGTACTTCTTTTTTAATAGTAAGAGGATTGCCAAAGGAAACCAGAATCTAAAGTGTCTCTAATTTCCGAAACCTACTTGTCATTAATGAGGCCAATAATCTGAAACGCAAAATGCTCAGACTATCTCCATTGAGGGTTTCAAAAAGTAAGAAAAATAAGAAGGAGAGTTTCTCAAATGAGAAACTTTGAGAAACCCATGAGATACTCATTTTGGACATTTGTCCTCTGTAAATTGGTTAAATTTTATTTTAATAACTATAATTTAATTATATAACTAAATTCAAATAAAATATTAATAATTATTTTGTTTGAGAAATTCTTTGGACTTCTCATGGATGGAGATGCTCTTAGAATGACATATATTTTATATTTTTATATTCCATCCGTTTTATAATATATGATATTGTTTTAGAAATTTTTTTTGTTTCATACTCCTTAGATGTTGGTTTCAACTTTCAATGCAATATTAATTAATTTGTTTTTATTAATTTTAACGATATATATTATGTAGATTGTTTTATCATTAGTTAAATCATGTTTAGGTAGATAATAAATGATGTTTTAATTTAGAAATAAGCAAAAATTAAATTATTTTTTAATCGGTATGCAAAAATCTTAAATATCATATATTTTCAAACATATGGAGAATTCTTTTGCTGAAAACATTGTTTCTCTCACTAGAGTTTAATTATTTTTTTTTTACAGTAGATAAACATTATTTGAAGAAGTAACACATTTATTTTGTTAAAAACCTTAAGATGAGTTTACAGACTCTATAGTTTTTTTTTTTTCTCATTTTGTAGGTTGATTTTTTATATATAAATACATGCTCTCATATGAATAAATTAAAGAAATACATCATTTTTGAAAAAAATCATGTTATTTTTTTTTTCCAATTTCATCTTTCGGTCTTGCTGAGTTATAATGTTGATTCTTTTGGAAATCAAACCATTTAAATAATAATAACATTGCATTTTTATCCGCTTTTACTATCATTTATGAGGGGTATATTATTTGGATTGTAATTCTCTGAATTCTCTCTTAACTTAGGTTAACTTCACTCTTATTCTTCCAGGTCAGTAGCCATCACAAGAAGTTCTTGCAAGCCACAGCAAGATCGTTTCAGGTTTCTGTGCTTATGTTTTAAGACTGCTTTTAGAAGGAATTGCATAAGCACCTTGCAAGAATCACTAAGATGCTTCTTATAGCCAAAGAACCCTCAGAGGCATTATCCTTCTGTCTTAAGACTCCTTATAATCTTTTGTGTGTGTGTGGAGCCATTATGAAACTTTTCTTTTTATGCACATTAACCTCACAACGTTTTAGTTTTCTAAAATCTAAGTAAGCACATGAGAATTATACAAGATGAGCCATGAGTGAATTTCCACACTGTCTTAGAGATCTAGTTGTTCGATTGTTGTGTGTTACTTGGAGACACACAAAGCTAAAAAGAGAGAAGTGTTGCAGATTCTAATCTAGTAATTTGGCACACAGAAAAGTGCATAGCGTAGCAAACGATATTTAAATTACGGATTAAGTTAATGAGAACTGAAACCAGTTGTTCAACCTTGTTCCTCCAAGCAAACCTGGAGAAATAGGCATGCACAATATGATTGGTTTATGGGAACTAAAAACATAATATGTTATTGGAAAACCTGAAAAATGAGCACAAAAGGATCATTCTTTGGAATTTTAACGCAAAAAATAAAAGGATCAATATTTTGGTGTTATACACACAAGTAATAAAGAAGGCAAAATACGACCTTACTTGAACATGATCACTTCTAAGTTCTAATAAAGAAAGCAAATAAAATTAAAACGTGATATATTTTATGTTTCTTACGTTGCAACATTCTCCTGCTGGAATCAACATCGAAATAGCAACAGAGAAGTGGGTTTGCAAACTCTGTTCTTTCAAAGAACAATTTTACTAACAGATGTTAAGCTTTGATCAAGTCATAACTTTCATTGGAAGATTAACAGTCACGAGAATGGGGAAAGTAATCACAGATAAGCCAAATAATCACATCTTGTATCTTGGATGAGCCAAATAATCACATCTTGTATTTGTTACACTGGTTTATCTCCTTTGATGCGATTGTTTTACTTTGGTTTTTAGATCCATGCATGGAGACCTTGATTCTGGAAAACCCTTAGTAAGATTGCTGTATGTGACTCCAGAATTGATCGCAACGAAAGGATTTAGGTTGAAGCTGAGAGAACTCCATGCCAGGGGTTTACTAAATCCTGTAGTGCCCCCTATACAAGAGTATGCCGGAAAAATTAAGGCGTTGAACCTGAATGTTGGTTTAATCTCTTGACTGTTTATGTATACTTCAGGCACATTGCATCTCATCATGGGGCCGCCATGACTTCAGGTTCATAATTTGTGATTTTGTCAGCAAACTTCGTCCATTGGCTCTTACTATAGACTTAGTTTTTGTCATAAAACAGACCTTTAGAGATTCTTTGGCTGATGTTCCAGTGTTGGCCCTAACTGGAACGTGCTGGTCCTAAGTCATCGTCTGTTTCAGTCCAATATAAGAATATGTTGTCTAAGTTTCTGTTGGTGCAGTTTGGTTCAAGTCATGTGGAAATATTCGTGCAGTTATCTGCTGGTAAAAAATGTTCCTGTTACAAGCGAGCATTCACCCTTGAATGAGTTGAGATGTGTACTTTAGCCACTCGCCGGTCTAGAGTAGTAAAAATCTCTCGCATCGTTTTTTACATACTTTCCAGTATAAGAAGCTTACGGAGTGGTTCTTATCTTCTATAGATTTGCCACTTCTAATAGCTCTGTTTATGTAAATTTATTATGCAAAAAAAAGAGTGGATGATCTCAATGAATATCTAATCGATACAACATTGATAATACAGAACTTGTCTGTAAGTTCTTGCTCTCATGGCAGATAGAGAACTGAAACTAATAATGCAAATAAAAGAAAGCAATGACCCAGAAACAATTAAAAGAAAGCAAGTGACTATCATCACTCTCGGTTCCATTTTCAGAACTTGTTCTAGTAAGGATGATCATAGCTAAAGAGATCACGGAAACAATTAACACTGTATTCATTTACACAACATTTGTAAGAAATAGAGATTCATTGGAGTTGTTCTATTCAAGTTTAAATTTTCTTGAACTTGGAGAAAGTTCCTGACTCTGAGAAGTAACTGCTTTGAATCCCACTGCCTAATCCTATCGCCTGAGGATTGCACAACTCTATTCCCTGCACAAGAGTGAAAGCCAGACTTGATGTCCTCAAACCAGAGGTAGTGGCACCACCTGTGTTCTGACGCTTTTTGGTGACCTTAGCATTAAGTTTCAGCTTGCTCGAAACACGCAGCCTATTGCTCCCAGCCTGACCAAGCATTCCATATCCATCACCCAGAGAGCTCTCTTCAGGTGTACCAAACGCCATCCTGTTGGCTAACTTCCTTATGTCTGTAACTTGATACCTTTCTTTCGTTTTTCTTAGACGGCGACCACCCCTTTTCTTTTTAGGCTCAAAATAAGGCACAGGAAGTGGCGTAGGTTGCCTTCCAGGAGGAGGTTCTTGCCACTTGTCAATATTCTTGCGGATTTGCTCCCTCAAAGCTTTCCCGTTTGTTCCAGATGCATCTCCTCTAGTAGCGTCAACTCTTGCCGCCAAAGTCGATTTTGAAGCCAAGAGCCTGCTAGCGCGCATTCGAAGTGCAGGAGGCGTGCTTTGGACAATCTCTGTCTGCTCCAGATAACCCACACGAGACTGTGACGTTGCAGTAGAGAATCCGTCAAGGTTCTTCCTCTTGTGGCCAAGTACTAGAACATTACAGGCAGGCATTTTTGCAAGTGCCGTTAAACCTCCAGCAGTTCCCATGAGCTTGGCTGCAACAGCGCTCCCGACAATGGCAGAGAGATTTGGTGCGATATATCCCATCTTACTTTCAAGAAAGTCAAGAACCTTCTTCCTTGCGGAATCAAGATTAAGAGCCCGATCACAAGCGTCTAACGTCTTTTGTAGGACATCATCTGACAATGGGTTCCCTTTCGTGGTTAAAGCAGTAAGTGAAACAGAAATAATAGTCGCTGGTTGAAGAAGAAGAAGGTCTTCAAGATTAACAAGGGTTAAATCTGTCTCATTGCCAATTTTTTTCACAACACGGGCATAATCGACTGGGTCATGTATCAGCGACTCAAGCTCTTGGAATTTAAGTCCGTACTTGTCGCGGATAAAGTTGTGGACGATGCCAATCTCGTTCTCAATATCAACTGAGAGCTTATTGCAATCTAGGATTAGCTTGTATTCAGGATCAGTTCCTATCACCTCCTTATCCTTTTCGAGAGCCTGTTCCACTTTCTGCATTACATCAACGTATCTCTGTGTTTTCTGTAGCTTAGAAACGCTCTCGAGATCATCATAGTTAAGGGTTTCTAACTCTGCCATGTCCATGTCAATATCCTCATCCTCCTCTTTTCTGGCATCCAGTTTTGCTTCATTGTCAGATAACTCGTCAATGTCTGCGTAGAAAGAAGCTTCAAGAGTTGCCATCGTATATATATCTTCTACACCGAACGCAGAAGCTTTAGTCAAAAAAACAAAAAAAGGTTTTAGTCTCTGGAGTGCTTTGAAGATATTGAAATTTTTGATCATATATGATGCTTAGGTTTTATATCAAAACCTCAACCACGGTAAAAGGAAATTTCTTTTTTTTTTTTGGTGTGAAGTAAAAGGAAATTTCTTTTTATTATATTGTATTTATTTACGATATTTCCTTTTTTTTATTCTCCTTCACTTGGGAGAGAAAAGAAAATTAATTATATAATACTGACGTGGCATGGAATATTGCTATGATTCTCTTAAACCCTTGTTTAATTCTTATTGATCACGGTCATGTTCAGGTTTGTATTGAGTATTGACCTTGTGATTTATGTATCATATTTTTCTGGTTGTGTGATGATTCTCACTAGAGTTTTTATATAGTACAATTGTATCAACGGGTAATATTGCTGCAGTACTCTGTTTCTCACTTGTGTTTTGTTCAGTCTAGCTCTCACCCATAAACATGTGACTCTGTTTTACTTTTCTCTATTATACAGAATGTTTAAGCTAGGGACGATCCCTTTTGTTATCTGTAGATGAACTGAGTCACTGACACGTAATGTCTCTTAAGAATCTCGTAGACTGAAACCTAGATGGTTTCAATTTCATTGGTTGTAGTGTAGTGTCCTGGTATTTATGTATGTACCTCGTGATAGTTTCATATTCTCTTCCAGTTTATAACATGTGTCATCATGTCTGTGTTGCAGATGAGTTCATACTTTGCTCCTGCCTTTTTCAGCCATCTACTGAGACGGAAAAGTCTAATACTTAGCTGTGATTGACCTTGGAATTGTCAGATTATCGCACGTCGTCTTAAGTAGTTTGAAACAGGACATGACATACACATGCATGGCCATAGCCACCGCCTTCAACAGAATCTCCTTACCACCCATCGATAGGGATCTCACAAACCATCCAGAAAAACGAGATTTCAACCTATCTTTAATGAAATCCGGCATATTTATTTTAGAACCAGAAAAACACTCAGGCAAACCCAAATAAGTACCAGCACCCCGGCCCTTTCTTTGAAAATACCCAGCTGAGCTTTGATAGACTCTTTATGCATCTCTCCCACATTTTCCCCAAAAGTGAGAGAGGACTTTTCAAAATTGATCTTTTGGCCAGTAGCATCCCCATACATTTTGAAGATCGACTTGATGACACTTACTTGATTAGCATCTGCTTTACAAAGGAACAAACTATCATCAACAAAAAGTAAGTGATGCCTTCTCTTTCAGCTTTATTCATAAGATGTGTCAACGCTTCAGTACACAAAACAAAAAGAAAGGAGATAAAGATCTCTTTGTCATAACCCTATTTTAGGCTTAATCATCCCAAAAGGTTGATCATTTATATATAAAAACCGAGAAAGAGACAGAGGTAACACAGAACATGACCCAACTAACCCCCTTCGGATGAAAACCCAACTCATTAAGGCCAAGAGATATGACCACTCTACCCTGTCATACACCTTGGACATATCAGACTTGATTTCCATAAACTTCTTAGAGATTTGAGCATGAATTCTAAGACCATGAACTAATTCATGGGCAATCAAGATGTTATATGAGATTAGTCTTTCAGCTACCAAATCAGACTGATTAGCGAGACAATGGCCCTGTTTGTTTCATCATTTTACATTTCCATTTAAATGATTCATTTGGATGATTCATTTGGATGATGCATTTGAATGATGTTTGTTTTAATATTTGTTATTTCATTCAAATGGATCTTTTTTTGTTTGATCATTTTGTAATTCATCCTAAATCTCATATAGACCAAAATGACTAAAACACCTATGCTTTCATTTTGACAAATAATCACATATAAAAACTAAATAAATTATTATTTTAACATATAAAAATTAATTTTATTTATAGTTATTAAAATATATACAAAATAATTATACAAGTTTGGCCGGAAAATATGATTTTGCGGGTTTTGGCAAAAGATATAATTTTTCTGTTTCGGTGGGAAAATATGTTTTTAGTGATTTTTAACGAAAAAATTAATATGATAAGAAATATGATTTGCCGTTTTTGGCGGGAAAATATGATTTTACGGTTTTGGCGGAAAAATATGATTTTACGGTTTTGGCTGAAAATATGATTTTGCAGTTTGGCGGGAAAACATGATTTTGCGGTTTTGGCAAAAAAATGTAATTTTATAGTTTTGGCGGGAAAATACGATTTTGCGGTTTTGGCGGGAAAATATGATTTTGCGGTTTTGGCAAAAAAATATGATTTTATAGTTTTTGGCGGGAAAATACGATTTTGCGGTTTTGGCGGGAAAATATGATTTTGCAGTTTTGGCGGGAAAATATGATTTTGCAGTTTTGGCGGGAAAATATGATTTTGCAGTTTTGGCGGGAAAATATGATTTTGCAGTTTTGGCGGGAAAATACGATTTTGCGGTTTTGGCGGGAAAATACGATTTTGCGGTTTTAGCGGGAAAATATGATTTTACAGTTTTGGCGGGAAAATATGATTTTGCAGTTTTGGCGGGAAAACATGATTTTGCGGTTTTGGCGGGAAAACATGATTTTACGGTTTTGACGGGGAAAATAATTTTGCGGTTTTGGCAAAAAATGTAATTTTATAGTTTTGGTGGAATAGCGCTTTCTATAATTTTACATCAAAAATTATGATTTTACAGTTTTTGGCAGAAAAACGCAATTCCACGATTTTACGATTTGACGTAAAATATTAATCCGTGATTTCATGATTTTTAGAGTATTTTTTTGGTTCCAATATGTAATTTTAAAATATTAAATAAGAAATCTATAGAAAATAATATTATTTAAAATATGATTGTATAAGAGGGTATATCTGTCTTTTGTTCTTTTTGAATGAACCATCTCCATCCAAATGGTTCAATCAAGTTCATCCAAATGAGTTTCATAAATTTGCCTAAATTTAAAAACTCATTCAGATGGATCATCTAGATGATCCATCCAAATGCTTGTTAAATTGTCAAAAACAAACATCATTTTTCATCTCCATCTAGATGGATCATTTGGATGGAGAAACAAACAGCACCAATATCCCCCAGCTAAGGTTGCAATCTTCTAATCAACACCTTTGAGATGGTTTTATACAAGACAGAACACATGCTAATAAGTCTCAGACATCTTATCCTGGTTAACTACTTTAGGCAATAAACAGAGCTGAGTATATTCCACTCAATGGGTGTAGAGATCATGTTCAATGGCCTTATTTTTTTGTTTTTAATTAACAATCCTCAACGACTCCTTTCATTTTTGACATATTTTCAACGCTGCTCCCAAAACTGTTTGGCTCTAATGCTTTCCACTGCGAAGGAATTACTTGCTTCACCTTCCATATTTTATCTTGAAGAGTTTCACATATTTTTTTTTTATATAAATAAGATTTATCATCCAAAGTTTTACAATTGTACCATTTGTTGTCTACTTTAAAAAATTTAAACCTTAAATATAAACACATCTTGAAAATCATTCTGTCTACAAAAATATTAATCTACGTTAAGAATTTTTTTTAAGACGTATTAAAAAATGTGTGGCTGGAAGAAGAATCAAAACTTCGTGTGAACCTGTATATCCCTAAGGTGTATATCTATACGATCATCTTAAATTTTTAATGAACTTTGTTTTCAGAAGTGTTTCATTTCTAAATTTGGTTATATTTATTTCACTTTAAATTAATACAACTTTCAAATTGATAAAATTGATTTTTTTTTAAATGATTAAATTATTGTAGAGTATTTAATTTTAAAACCAAGTAAATATATCGTCCAAGTTCCAACAAATTACCGAATCTATAGCTAAAATAATTATAAATCGACGGATATGTTTTGTTCTTCAAAATAATTGAATCAATTAAATTCAAACAAAAGAGAATGAAAACTTATGAAAAATTGAAAGTTGCAAGAGAATCACTAATAATATTTCATATTCTATACTATACTTTCCAAACAAACAACTTAGCACGTCCTCTAATATGTTTGGAAGTGCCACACACGAACCCAAGTTGACGAGATAATATAATATTTACATACAAAGAAAGACTATATAAAGGGTGTTCAAGTTCTAGTATATCATAACAAAAACAAAGAAATAAAAGAAGAAGTGGTAAGATTCTCAAGAACGATGGGGTTAGGGCATCTTTTGGTTTATGTCGTGGTCCTAAGTGCCATTGCGGCTACAGTGACATCGTACCCTTACTCATCTCCTCAAACACCACAATACAATTCTCCAAGCCATGAACACAAATCACCATATCCACCTAAAAAGTATTCCCCATCCTACTCGGCATCACCACCACCTTCACCACAATATAGAAGACAAGGCCCTAAGTACACGCCACATCCAACACCATATCTCTACAGTTCCCCACCTCCACCGTACTACTCTCCTTCTCCAAAGGTTGAGTACAAATCCCCACCACCACCGTATGTCTACAGCTTTCCACCTCTTCCATACTACTCTCCTTCTCCAAAGGTTGAGTACAAGTCCCCACCACCACCGTACGTCTACAGCTCCCCACCACCTCCATACTACTCTCCTTCTCCAAAGGTTGAGTACAAGTCCCCACCACCACCGTACGTCTACAGCTCCCCACCACCTCCATACTACTCTCCTTCTCCAAAGGTTGAGTACAAGTCCCCGCCACCACCGTACGTCTACAGCTCCCCACCACCTCCATACTACTCTCCTTCTCCAAAGGTTGAGTACAAGTCCCCGCCACCACCGTACGTCTACAGCTCCCCACCACCTCCATACTACTCTCCTTCTCCAAAGGTTGAGTACAAGTCCCCGCCACCACCGTACGTCTACAGCTCCCCACCACCTCCATACTACTCTCCTTCTCCAAAGGTTGAGTACAAGTCCCCGCCACCACCGTACGTCTACAGCTCCCCACCACCTCCATACTACTCTCCTTCTCCAAAGGTTGAGTACAAGTCCCCGCCACCACCGTACGTCTACAGCTCCCCACCACCTCCATACTACTCTCCTTCTCCAAAGGTTGAGTACAAGTCCCCGCCACCACCGTACGTCTA